GAGGAGGTGGGAGGAAGGAAAGGAGGCCGCGAGCGATACGACGCGTGTATCCGCTGTCGGCAGTTCGCCTCGAGTCGCTCGGATCGGGAACAATTCTGCCAATGACTGTACATATACTGTCTTCTTACTGTTTTCTTCCTTTCTTTACTATTAATATTATTATTAATATTATTATTACTATTTTTTATTATTATTATTATTATTATTATTATTATTATTCGTTTTTGTAGATTTCACGTGCACACGACTGTCGCGCTGTATATACGTAGATAAGGGGATCTCACGGACGTCATCGGCGTCGACGTTTCGCCGGCACTGTTTCTCATCGAGGATTCACTGAAAGCAAATTTGATCGATGCGTTAACCGTCGGACTGTCCTTTGAAAGCTGTGAAATCTTCGAGCAGTTTTTGATTTATTGGTTTCTGGTAGTCAATTGGAGTTTGTTAGTTGATTATGATAGGTTTGATGAGATCGATGCATCTTGTAAAGGGGTTGATGAATTTTTATGGTTCCGGATGTCGCCGCCTGTCCGATTAGCAAAGTGTTCGAAGGGTTAACGTTCAATGGATTGCAGGTGTTCCGTTAACGTCGCGTGAAACGTTTCCGTTTCGAGGAATCATTTTAGCTCGTGAATCGGTTGCGACGATTTTGGTTGTCAGAGGGCCGCCGATCGCGTACGGATCTCCCGGTTTCGTTCGGCATTCGCGTAGATTCCGGAAAGAGCGAACAAACGTGTCCGCTCGATAACCGTTTCTTAAAAGCACCTCGGCGAAGTTCGACTTCGAGCAAGTTTCCGGCTGGCGAACGCCGCCGCGGCAGGAACGTTCGCCGATTCTTTCTTTTTCGTCGTCCCGTTAACCGCCGCCATTCGCAGCAATTACGGACGACGCGGTCCCCGTTCTCCATCGATCCTGACAGGATTACTGTCCCATTAATACCGTTCCAGTGAATACTTGTCGCCGAGTAGTGCGCCGGTGAAATCCGTGCCGGTGATTTCAATGGAATCCATAGATAAGCATATACACGGATCGATCGATGTTTCTTTGCGTTTATCGAATGCTGCGTCGAGAGGGAAAGAGAGAGAGAAAAAGAGAGTGAGTGAGTGAGTGAGTGAAAGAGCGATCGATTGAGCGAGAGACAGAGAGAAAGAGAGAAGACGGAACCCGGAGCTTTAAGAGAGTGATCGCTCCTGCGTTTTCCAGGTCTCGATCTTTTCCATCGCCACATCCGATTGATCTTTTTTCGCCGAGTTTCCATTCGCGGCGGCCGACGGACGTCTCTGCAGGGACTTTCACCGAGACGCGGCGTATCGATCTCTGTTCGTCTCGAAATTCTCCGCGAAACCGTGCGATTAACGCGACGCGTGGGCGGATATATCTCCGAGGACGAGAGCCTCGCGGCGCTGGAAGATTATCCTCGAGCGTACGATTACATCGGGAACCGTTCGACGATTCCTTTCGTCTCGGAGGATCGTCGGGACGGTTCTCGTTTATCCCTAACGTTTAAGAACTCGCGGAGGATCGACCCTCTACGAATCATAACCCTTAACCCTTTGCACCCGACGGTTTTTCACTTGAAATTCAACACTTTCTAATTAGACGAGATTTTTTAAAATCAAGAAATCACGCGTAAATTAGGGAACCCTTTCTTTCAATATTTCATCTATCGATGCTAATTTTCCTGTATCGAATCATCTGACCGAGAGTCACTCGAGTGCAAGGGGTTAACACGTAGCGAGTACCGGATGGTACTGTACCCGGTACTCACGAGTCGAGTCGCGAGATACAGAACCGCTGAATATGTGTATTAGATTCGAGGATACGGAAGAATAGAATTAATCGAGGGTGTAAATACGGTATTAAGTAGGTTTTTATTTAATGTCATCTCCGAGGTCGTTCGAGCCGGCAAACTTTCATATTCCCTCGACGACGTGTGTACTCAACGGTTTCAATGGATTTTTGATCGAGATTCTCAACGGACACGGATGTTTCCGGAACGAAGCGGCGAAACGCGATCGTCGTCGAACGACCTCGGGGACGCGTCGACGATGTCGGTGTAACGTCGGTGTTCAAAGTCCCTGCGTCTTATGCGGACGCGCGTGAAGATGCCGTTTCGTCGCGTGAGCCAAGCCGATTGAAGCCACAGTCTAGTCAATTACGAAGTCCGAATTCATCGTAGCTCGGACGTCTCATACAATCATGTTTTCTTCTCGATTTAGAACGCAACTTCCTTCGTTCTTCTTTCCCCTTCTTTCCGTTTTGTCTTCTTCTTTTCCTTTTTATTCGTGAGTAACACGTACCGATCACGTTGTCCTGCCGGGCCGTGTTTTATACCGGGGACACGCGTTCTCCCGTGTCTCCCTTGTAGCCGGAGAAGCAATTTCTCACGACGGAGATCGATTTATCATATAAGACACGTATTGTAGATCGCTTCGGTCCGGAACGATTGTTTTATACGACGGAGTGTGGATCAACCGCGATCCAAAGACACAAGCGAATCTGTCGTCGCTTGAACGACCACGAACGGCCGATCTGCTAACGAAGAACATGGCCTTAGAAACGAAGCAACCGAAAGAGAAAAACACAAAAAAAGGGAAAAAAGAGAAAAAAGAGATTAAGGGGAAAAGGAGATTAAACCTAGGTACAGATTCGTCCGTACGTTGTAAGGATCTAGCGATAAACGCACACGAGCGAGCACTCGTGCGACGACGACGACGACGACGACGACGACGATGACGACGAAGACGACGACGACGACGTACAGAGCGCAGTATTGAGAAGAAAATTTTTGTAATTTATTTTTCCTCACGTCGCTACATTGTACTTTCTAGCTTTTTCTTCCGATCAATCAACTTAACGATCAAGTATTCTCGTAATAGTTACGTCTCTTCATTAGCAATGCGATAACACCCTAGCTCGTAACATTTGTATTTGTATGTACCTGTACTCTACGTGCATTTATATAAATACATATGCGAAGAAGTGTCCGTGTTTAACCACTTCCGTTCCAACCGGAACCACGGACGAGAGCTGTAGGATGTGCCCGATAATCGATGTTCTTCCTTTTCTTTTCTTTTCTACTTTTCGTTTCGAGAGAGGAAAATATTAACGGCTAAACGATAAAACCTGAAGAATTTAGATATAGCACGCGTTAAACGTTTAAGAAAACTTTTAAGCATCGGTGGGTTAGATTGTACAGAGTTTCCAGTACGGGACTGGCAACGTGATCATAGAAAATGGCGGACGTTGTTTTCTATCATTGAACGAACGTTGTTAAATTGATTAATGACCGTGTGCGATAGCTCGGTACAGTTGTAACACGGTAGTTTCAGTCTTGTCGATAATGGAACAAAATTTTGTCCGATACTCTATAATTACCATACCAGTCCCTATAAATGCTCCTATAGGAAGAAATACTGTAGCTCACGGTATCAATGTTTTTACATTAGGTGGCCAAACGATTCCATAGATATTCTATATAAGATCAGCATATCAAGATGCGTGACATGCCTGCCATTAGACGTTAGGTGGACTCCACACCTCATATATGATACACACAGAGTACGGATTTCGATGCAAACGCTTTTTGTAAATTAATTCACAAGGGCTATGGTTGAACGGAAATTCCCTTTATTTCGTCACGGATTCTCATTGTCGCTTCGTTGTGTTTCGCATATAGTTGTAATTAATATAAATGCATAAAATCCGCAGTCTAGTGGTTGAGATATACATATATATATGATACAAGCTCCCATTAGACGTTAGGTCGAGTTTGAAAAGAATGTCTTGCGCGCCGGAGCCTCTTTACCGAGTGTACCTCCCCTTCGACCGTTGCGCCCTCTTCGAGAGGACGAGGTACCGCGTCACCATGCAACCGGCGGTTATAAAAATCCCCACTATACTGCCGACGAATAAGCCGAGGAAGAATTGCAGATCCTCGTTGGCGGTCCTCGCCGGGCTGATCGGCGTAAAGAATTCCAAGTTCCCGTCTTTGGACCGTGCCGTGTAACGGAGCCAATAAATCAGCCTGTCGACGGCCGGATTTATTCTGTCGCGGATCGCCACGGAAACCCTCCGCGCGTTCTCTCGGTAACTCATGGACTCGTGGATCACGTTCACCATGAACGCCACCTCCTCGCCAGAGATGACGCGACCGTCGTCCGCGGAGGGCGCGGAGAGCGCGAAGCCCAAACCCACCGCGCGAACGGCATTCTTCGACTCGTGGACATTCCTTGGGAAGCATATCACTGGCGTCCCATGAAACCCGGCTTCCAGAAGCTCGGTGTCGGCACAGTGACTCAATACGACCCTCGTGCGCCCGTAACCTGTATTAGAAATGATACTATTACTGGCGTCTATTTATGAGAAATGTCTAACTAAATTGAACCCTTCCAAAAGCAAAGTCTGATCAATTCCATTCTCTCTGTACATTAATATACTTGTGTAAATTAATATGCTTAGGATGTTTTAGTTGTAAGATGATTTTTATGTGGATATTGTTTTCTATGACGCTTTGTTTAGATGGAATTGATCGTCTAGAAGGTTCAATTGGAGCTCCTTGATCGATGCATTATTGTGGTCATGGGTAACTTAGAATTATAAAGAGAAAATGGGTTAAAATAATCTAAAAACTCGAACTGTAACCTCCATATTTACAGACGTCTACTTGTAACACGTTTAGCTTTACACCCTGCATGTTTCCTTGAATGAAATTACTTGTAACGTGAACCTGAGGAATTATTTTTAACACCATTTCCTACGTCCAGAGAAAGAAAAGGAGCGGGTGAGATTAAAATGAATAGTGGCAACGAGTGTGCACGTGGACGGTATCGTTGTCCTGATAAGAGTGTCGAATTTCTAATGAAAGTATTATTATCAGTAGCTTCGTCAGGGACCTAACAGGATTCTATACAGAAATTATAAGGTTTCAATCTGCTCTACCTATCAAGTCTTGCCGATCGACCGTTGGGCGAACAAAAAGATTGCTCGATAACGTAGCGGCCGAGTCTGTCTTCGTCGATGACTTCGCCTTCTTCCAAACGACCGCTTGGCCGTCTCTTCCTTGAGGCAACTTCTCCGCGAGCTCTTTGATCAACGTCTCGTAACTTTCATCTAAAAGAGCTACAATCGTGCCCAATCTGAACTCGATCAACGATTTGTTCAGATCTCCTTGGAGCGGATGCGCTCCTCTGCAATGATGGCAGCCGACCTAAAATATTCGAACCTTTAATGTACATTCTAATTGCGAAATCGTTTTGTTTAACACGTTGACTGCCACGGGAAACAGCGTTTTAAATAAGAATAATTATTAATTATTTACTACCACTATTCTTACTTTATACCAATCCTTTACCAGTAATGATTATTAATTATTTACCACAATTCTTCACAATATTCTCTACTTATTCACTCGAATATTTTTATTCAACGTCAGTCATGAATTATAATTGTTTTCAAGTTCCGAAGCTCATCAATGACCGGCAGTCAACGTGTTAATAAAACATTATATTCACACCCCGTCTTCCGCGAAAACATTACATAAATATAAAGAAAATCATAATCAAATAAACATAAAGAACAAATTCAGGATGAATTAACCCCTTGTCCTACAACAACGAGACTCGTGGTGAAGATTTTCAATTCAGCAAATATATATATGACTCGGTTCATTCGAATGCAAAGTAAATATTATTCCTCTGTAATCAACTATTATACTTAACCCTTTGAACTTGGAGTGCTAAGGGTTAAAAGGTAATACATATGCTTAGAATTTTTCTATTTTTCAAATAAATTATTAACACTAGGTTTACGGACGTTTATTGTTCGGTTTATTCTATTGTTCCTAGAAAAATTGATGTTCGACCATTTAGATCTTGGAAATTAGGGATTTAAAATTATTACGATACGTATTCTTATAACTGCAACAACCAAGACCGACATAAACGTTTGCCAAGTAACGTTTATAAAATTCAGTACGCGTCAAATTGCACTCCATAAACCTAGTGTTAACGACGAAGTGACCGTCTCGATCGGAGTTGCAAAAGAAATCACAGGCCAAGGGGTTAATGGTGTTTCCAGTGAAACATCCGGCAAATGATTTCAATGTGCACAAGTGTAAAATACAGGCAAGACGTTCCTGGCCGCGGTCGAACAAATCGAACGTCGTGGAACGTTCTACCAGGAAAGCATAACAGGCGGGACACACAGCCCGATCGTTTTTCCATCTCGCTTACTTCGACTATCAGCTGCGTGAGCGGGGCGAAATACGAGCGCAGGATGGAATCACCGCCCCAGAGTATGAGGCGAACATCCGCGTAAAGATTGTCTAAATTGAGACCGGCCTCTGGCAAGTATTTTCCCACTATCCGGAGAGCATACGCCGCGTACTCGTCCCTGGCCACCGAGAATATTGACCTCCGGGAGAAACTCGTCCGCAACCTCGTCCAAAATCCCGCACTCTGAACCGGCAGAGCGGTGCCCGTGTACTCGAACACGTAAACCTGTTCATCCCGATCCCGCGTCCATATAACTGGAATCGATTGGATAATCCTCGACCATGGTAACAAACAACCATCGTGCCTACAAACGAAAAATTTCCAATGACATTTTATTCTTTTATTTATTTTGACTATCGGATAAATGAAAATTAACCGTTTGGATGGTAAACAAGTTTTGTGGATATTTACTAAAAATGATTGGGTGCGTATGCAAAAAAATTAAGAGTAATGAGATCAGAAATATTGTGTTATGAAAAAATATTGGAAAATAAGGTTCATTCAAATACAGTGACTTTGATTTATTTTTTGAAGGACATAGTAAGAAAATTATAATTGATAATGATAAACGGTTGAAATAATTCATACTTGAAATATATAGTAATGAAAAATAATTAGGTATGTCTGAACCGGAAGCGCGTCTCGAGAATTAGTGTGATTTGGTCGCGTGACTCGGCGAGTGCCGATTTTATCGAGAAATATTCAAAATGGAAATAATCTAATATCAAAGTATATAATTGAAATGCATTGAAATGCATTAAAAATACCACTTGTTTACTTAAATTTGTTTTAATTCATTTCGTGAATAAAATTAGTAAAAACCACTTAGATAATTCACACAAATAATTTTGTATGATCCTTTACACGAGTGGTTTGCTATACAAAGCGACTGAATTCCCTTTTTACAAACAGTCTTGGCATAACAAAAAATCCTCAGCAGTCAAACGGTTAATATTATATTTTTTCCATTCTGTGTATTTTGCTCTATGAAATCGTGCGGCATTCACGTCAACACGTTCACACCGGCGCTGTAACTTCCACTCTCCCATTTGGCGACTGAATTCTCAGAATTGATAAAAATATTGAAATGATCAATAAATCAATTAATTCTCAACTATATGGCAATATTTTCTAATTACCAAACCATTCGACGAGCCACATATCTCATTCTACACACCGTCTAATGAGCCATCAGTGGTACACACTGTCCAACGTGACATCTTACTATGAGCCACCGGTGGTACGCGCCGGCGTGAACGTGTTAACACGCTGACTGCCACGGAAACCTTCAGGGTTTCATATATCGCTTATTCTTTTGTAACAAAGATGAAGAGGAACTGTCACTTATTATTTGATATCGCAATGCTCACGTTACACTGTCATCTAGTAACTTACACTATGAAATATTTCCTCTGGACATTAGTTGTCTGACAAATTATAACTATTTTCAAGTAATTCGAAAGCTCCGGTCATCGATGACCGACGTGGCAATCCACGTGTTAACCCTTTGCACTCGAGAGGCGCCTTTCAGTCGCCACCTGATTCGACGCAGCAAACTTATAATATTTTCAATTTAATTAAATCGTGTGCAACGTATCAAAAACATCGAAATAAAATAGTTCTGTCCCTTAACCCTCTGTGGGCCCATGTAACTTTGAAGTCACATATCAGGCGTGAAAGTTTAACGTCATTCGTTAATTCGTATTCATACATGGACATTTATTAATTTTCTACTGCACAGATTTTGTTACGATCATGGACAAAAATTCGGCCCATAGAGGGTTAATTTATATAAGATAAGCAATCGCGTTAATCGCGAAAAACATCGTTAATATTTAATCAGAAAGTAATGAATATTTTTCATGAAAAATATTGTCGAGTGCAAAGGGTTAACCCCTTGACCTACAATACCGCGTCAGACTCGTGATGAAAATTTTAAACTGAATTTGACAAATCTAAGTCTTACTTGTTTTCTTTAAATATAAATTAAATATTACGTTTCTATAATTAATCGTCAACCTTTGGAGTAAATATAGACATAGAATAATCATCAAATTCTTTCATTTCATAATAAATTATTAATCATAAAATAACTGTATCGATCATAGTTAAGAAATAAATCATGGCACAAGGGGTTAACCTCCGACGAAACATACCTGAACGCAGGGAAAATGGTGAACGTCGGTTGAATTTCCGATATCTTCTTCGCGATCTGCTCATCCTTCAGGAAAGCCTCGCAAGCCTGGATCGCTTTGCTCTCCGGATACGCGTACTCCTCGGTCTCGACCGTCACCGTCAGCACTTCCACATCGATCAAAGTCTCGTATACGTCGTGCTCGGCGTAGCCCGGTATTATCAGCGTCGCGTCGATCCCTTGATCCGACAGAGTGTTGGCTAGCAAAGACAGATCGTAGACGTCCTCGAACGCGACGACCACTGCCGATTGCGGGGGTGCAACCAATGACGAGCCGCGAACGGCGTGAGCGAGACAAAGAAACGCGCAGAACTCGACGAGCGCGTGCATCGTGACAGAGTAGTCGACGATTAATCGGTAAAAATAGAACTGCCGATTAATTTTCGTACGATCCGGCAGATTAAGTCGACGTTCCGGCCGCGATAAGTGAACGAGAACGATAACTCGATTGTGTTACCCTGAAGCTGCTCTCTCCGTCAGATATCGGCGAGATTTCGAAATGAGTTCGCTGAAAGTAAAAAAGAACGTCTTGAAACGATAAACCAGCATCAACGCTCGTGACTCTTCATCCGATGTAATTTTGCCCAGTATAAATTCTCGATTCAAATGAAGAAAAAAGATGTTTGAACATTCAGATGTATCACTATTTAAAAGTTCGGTCCGTTGGAAGCACTTTTTATAGGCGTAGCGTGGTCGGACGATAAAATCGGTCGCGAACGAGAGGAACTGATGTAAGAGCTAATATGAGACTCGATTTACCTTCGTAACGGACCGTTTCGTTTATTCCTCCCACGGGATATTTTACAATGCGGATTTCGAACGTCTATACACGGTGCAGTTTTGCCACCTTAAGGTTCCCGCGGGGCAGCCAGGTAAACAACACACTGTATTCCACTTGTAAGATGCGAGAAGTCATTCACACGTTAGACGTACACGCGTGCCGGTCGAGGAATAGATGAATGTTAATCGTGCGAGACGCACGCCTATGACGCAGGACCGCCACGAAGCGTATACAATCGCGTGGGTCGTAGTGTTTAACTTTTGTTGGGAACAGTTCTGTCTCGATTAACCGTTCAGAGCGATGTTCCGATCACCGAGCCGGCTAAGTGTTCTGGAAACGTTTAGCTGGACCTCAGATGAAAGAATGTATGCTCCGGTTGGTCGTGATGAGTATTCTCATCACGCGACGTTAACGTAACGCATCGTTTGATGCCTTCACGTATGTAGAACGTATGAATGGTCAATAAGCCGTTACGAGACGAATAATTGAACCGTGAAGCTGGACGGTCTCGGTGTAAGGTTAGTTTCTCTGGATTTGAAATTTCGTTTGGCAATCGTGCGTGCTACACAAGCACTGTCATTCTTTCACGTTGTTACACACTAGCAGTGATTAATGTTATTCATTCGCGAGAGAAAAGTCGTATAACCTCTGTATCGTATCGTGTCGGTTTGTATCGTGAACAGTTCGTTGATTAATTATATTTCATTTATGAAAATAACGTGACTTCTGTGCGAAGGATTTGCCAGCCTGTCTGTCGAATGTTACTTTTCAGATGTGAAATGGAATAGCAATAATACGGAATACACGGTTTTGTTTCGAAAAGTAGGGGGTAGTTTCCAACAAACGACTCACTGCAGTGCCATCTGGGAAAGGTATTATAGCGAGGTGCATCCGTGACGATTAAATTCGTTTGTTCCAACCCGCGGTTAGTTGGAAGCAGCGAAACGTGCTTTGCAAGTATATGTCTTAAAATAGTTTTTTACGTCAAACAGAAATGTTGACGTTTATTAAATATGTATTTCTTGTTCGGTGACCTTTCAATTTAACGAGGTTATTTTGAATGATTATTTGCAGAACGTGGGGAATAAAGTGTATAATGAATAACAGCTAACACCAGTGAATGAACAACAAACTGATCAAGTGTCTGTCCGAGTTTTAGAAATATATTTGTGTATAGCTGAAATATACTTATATAATAAACATGAGTTTCACGTTAGATGCTTCAAAGTCACAGACGACTACTACAACTGCTGCCAATGTTCCAACAACGAGTAAGATCTAAGAAAATTGCAACAGCAAGATTTCGTAATAGAAGGATGTCTGATATGTATGTATATTTTGTAGCTTTCACATTTGGTACTATGGGTGCTGGAGATGCAGGAAAACCAACAGGGTTCTCGTTAACACAAACGCCGACACAAAATAAAACTGCCTCTGTATTTGGTAGTGGAGTAACCATTACTCCTGTTCAGGGTACTGGGTTTAGTTTTGGGACACAGGCAGTAGCACCCACAGCTACTCCTGCTAATACAGCAGCACCGCAGACACCTGGATTGACATTTGGTACAGGTGTAGCTGCGAGTACTGGCATAACTCCTGCTGCAACTAGTACCGCAGCACCTAAACTTTTCTCTGGAACTACGCCTATCGGAGGTGCTTCAAGTTTTACTTTAGGAGGTACCACTACTGTTGCCACAACAGCAACACCTGTATCAGGTTTCGGAGCTAAACCGCTTACAGGTACTACTGCATCTACCCCGACAAGTGGTTTAACATTTGGAACACCAAATACCAAGGCAGCAGGCACTGGTTTTACTGTTGGCACAACAGCAGCACCAGGTACAGAAGCAAATGATCGAAAATTCTAAATCTAGAAGTAAAACTAACACAATGTTTTTGAAGGTTTCCCTTCAAATGCTAATAGACCCATTTCTACAGCCACAGCATTCACTTTTGGCACAGGAACAACTGCAGCGAGTACAACAGGGTTTACATTGAACAAAACTTCTACTGCTCCAAGTCTTACAACTCCTAGCACTCAGCTATCATTGGGTACAACTACTACGTAAGTAAATTTTCTCTTGTGCTAAATTTACATATTCTGATTTACATATTAATAAATAAATTACTGCAGTGTTACTTCATCTGCAAATGCAAACCAACCAGCTTCCATAAGTTCATTTGAAGAATCTATCAACAAATGGACTTTAGAATTGGAAGAACAGGAGAAAGTATTTGTTAATCAGGCTGCACAAGTTAATGCTTGGGATAAATTACTGATAACTAATGGGGAGAAAATAGTAGCACTTAATCAAGAAGTTGAAAGAGTGAAAATTGAGCAACAACAATTAGAGCATGAATTAGATTATGTGGTGAGTCTTGTTTATTAATGTACTGAAATACATAGAATGATAGAATTTATGAGTTCTCTTATTACATACAGGTTGGCCAGCAGAAAGAATTACAAGACTGTTTAGTACCACTGGAGAAAGAATTAGCATCACTTTCAGTTTCGGATCCAGAACGAGAATACACGTACCGTTTGGCAGAAGACCTTGACACTCAATTAAAACGAATGTCAGAAGATTTGAAGGAAATCATAGAACACTTGAACCAAGCTAATCGTACTCAAGACTCCAGCGATCCGATTGTCCAAATTGGTAAAATATTGAATGCGCACATGAACAGTTTGCAATGGTTGGATCAACAAACCACTCTGCTTAATCACAAGATACAACAGATAGACCAGATGCATCAGAACTTTAGACAAGAAAATGAACGAAGTTTTAGTTTAGCGTATAATTAATTATAATTCTTCATTAATTGTTAATACGAAATTTATACACATTTTTGTAAAAGGTTCATTTTATACCAGTTGGTTATATGAGTTAAGAACAATTAAATAAAACACGGGTAAACAAGTTACAAAAATGTAAAATATCTATATTGTATTCGGGCAGCATCATTACAAACGGTATTTACAATGTAAAGAATGACTCAAGTAGTCATCGAAGGAATGAAATAATGTATTTTCAAATAATCTGACAAGTGTAGATATAAGTTAACGATCTTGTCTTGAAGTATGTTACATTTCACGCCGTCAGGATGTACAACATCCCACGCCAAAAACATAAAAAACTTCTTAACGTCTATGGTAGCCGATATTTTATCCTGCTCATCCTGTTGACTGCAACTCCACACCTGCAGACCTTGAAAATAAGTGGAAACCGTCGCGCTATCTGTATCAACTTTGAGCATAAATACACCTGACTTGTCCGCGCTCATCGTTAATCGAGGACTCATGTTTTTCATTCTTTCTACAATTTTCCTAACGTACTTAAGTTGCGGCATGTCTAGCGATATCTGAAAATTGTAAAAATTAATTCTGAACGACCACACGTAAGGTGCATGGGAATTTACATCGAATTCTGGTATGAGTGGTGCTTGATGTTCCGGCCATTCTCGCCGTGGTATAACTCTTACTGGAACATCATGTAAACATTGCCTCGACTCGACGTTCAACGAAGGCAATTCGATCTCGAGTGTCAGACATGGCTGACGTTTATTCGTCAATTTCATTTTAACACTTTTCGCGGTCATTCGCAAAGAACCCAGTGACCTAGCCAGCATAGTCGCATCCAATTCTAAATAAATTTCGTTTTGTTCATCGGTAACACCGCTCATAACGTATTCGGTGAAAAAATGATCTTGTCTTAATTCTGCCCAAACCATCGACACTCGATCATCCCCAACGCTGAGGCACAACTCGCTCGGCGTTATTCTCAAAGTACACTGTTTTGTTAATCGGGAAAGAACGTTAACGATGTCTAAAATAAAAATTAATTGTTACGTTAAAGGATATAACTGTTTTCGAAAGAAAAAACAACAGGAAAGGTTAGAAATTCATTATACACGATAAACTCACTCGTAAAATCTCTCATAGAGATCACATCTACCATTCTACATCGAAATTTCATATTGAATTATATAATAAACTGTTTCTAGATTGACAATAAGTTAGAAGTGTTCGCAATAAAAACAAATTTTGCGCGGGAACTCGTAACACAGTTCTTACCGGTATTTGACAGATGACACTGTCATTCTGGCAAAATACAGTTACACGCTATGACACACTTTCTACAAGTGCTTCGTTTTTACGTTACGGCATATTTATTATATAAATAATAAATACAATTAGTTCCGTATATCGTAAAATTTATAATGGTAAGTCGTGTTCTGGCCTTTTCGTTGGTTTTAGCTAACCTCGTTTTAATTAACCTTCCCGACGTTCTCCCATGAAAACTAACTCCATCTTCCCCTCAATTTACATGTTTTCCATTGTACTCAACTTTCAATAATTATCAAATTAACACTATTTCTACCTATATCAAAAGACCACTTTCGAAATTTCAACTCAAAATTATAATTTCCTCCTAGTTCCACAAATGTTAACCCTCTAAGGGTAAAATGTTAAATATTTCCAGTGAAAAACTTTGAAGGGTTATACCTAAAAAGCATTGAATCTTCGAAATGATTTTGGAAATAAATAGTTTCACTCGAGTACTACGATGAACATCCAAAGAAACTGAAAATAATCATTTACATATCAATCGTATTAAATGCTCAATAGTTCTACTGTTAACACACAACAATTCAAAAGAGCATTCAACATTAATTCCCACGGATAAAACAGCGAACGTCACGGTTGACGGTGTCACCGTCAGATGGCAAGATGATGAACATTTCCGATGACGCCCGAGCGAAAAAGTACCCCGCCGTGTAAATTCCGCATGACCCATAATCCGCTGATGCGAGAGATCTAAGCCACCGCTGTCAAGTATCGCGTATAAACAAAAACCAGCGTATCAAACGCGTACACGTACAAGGTCACGACCTTCGTTCCCCGTACACACTTTGCCGTAGAGACGTCCGCGATCTGACGCACAGTCGCTCGTGTGTCCTTCCCCTTAGAGGTTGCGAATCCTTGTTATTCGAGGGTGAGTTCGGCCATGTTGTCGAGTTCGGCGACCGGGGACGATATATAATCGGTAATTCGCATCCGCGACGTCCGTGTATCTTGACTCGGGTGGTCTCCAGCGAACGATGCAGCACTGAACGATATGTCGTTCGCCAAGAAGAGGTGAGTCTCTTTTTCTCTCTCACTCTTTCTCTCTCTTTCTCTCTCTTTCTCTCTCTTTCTCTCTTTCTATGTCTCTATCTTTTTCTCTCTCTCTCTATCTCTCTTCCTGTTACGCGCTCGAAACGCGAGAACCGTTTCTCTCTTTCGTCTCGTGTCCTACTCCTCCGCGTGCCCGTAGTAAACATAGATTAAGGTCGATGTTGATTGTGTCACGTCGGCCTAAATCGCGAGTACAATCGCGGGCGTCGGAGGCTCGATAGAATTTCAGCGAGAAGAATCCAGCCCGGCTCTCGTGGGGAAATTTTAACGATCGATTGGGATCGTTCGGCCAGTTCCCAGACATTAAACCCGGGTCACGAACCGTTCGAACGGGCGGCAGAATCAAACGGTTCGCGCGAGGAACTCGTTTACACGGCGCACGGTTTTTCGCCGGGCTTTATCGTGTTCGCATCTCGACGGCGTGTTATTAATTATTAGCGCATTCAACGCCGACTATATTTCAGCTAATAAACACGAGCGTTGATTATATTGATACATTTTTAAACATCGATTGAACTGAAATTTCGAACTTAAGAGAATGAGGGATTCGATTTTGGAAATTTTACTTTGGATCGGTGTTGTAGGTATCTGAAATGTTACGTGAACGTAGGATTGGTAATTAAATGGTAGAATAAAGATGGGGGATGTAGCTGTGTGTTGAATATGAGATATTAACGCGTTGAACGCCATGGGGGTCACCGGTGACCCCCGAGCAAATCAAATTAGAATGGTTCGTGCAATTAAACGGCATTTGGAAACGTTTGTATGTTATAAACAATGCTACCCAATGTGGTAACATTGAGCAAGATAATAATGATTCGATCGAATCATTTGATATTATAGATTTACCATTTTGCGTATTTTGATCTATGAAATCCTGCGGCGTTGCGGACATTGTTATTTCAAGTTATAAGCTATTATATTTGGGAAGTTAATTAGTTGTTCTAGTTTCATTTCTTCGATGATTTGTTTAGATTTATCGAATCGAAGGAAATATCGCAGAATTGAATTATTTTGGAGAATTGATAAATATTTTTGAAAATCGATGCATCATGTCGATTTCTGCTAATCTTAGGATAAGGGTGTAATTAATTCGACATTAACATTAGAACCACCAGTGAAGATGACTTGATTGTATTCGCAATGATTGATATCTTAAAGGCATCGAATATTCGAAATGATCTTGAACATAGTTTCATTTCAGTACTGTAATGAATGTCTGAAGAAACCGAAGATAATATTATTACAATTTTTATATCGATTATATATTGATCATATATTAATCACGCCCGAAAAAGGTTAATCCTTTGCACTCATTTAATATTAGTCATTATAAATTGCAAAGTTTCCTCGTTAAATACGTTGCAACATTTCTATCTGTAACCTATTGTTCAGGTTTATTTAACGGTTTTTGAAAAGACAATAAAACACATCCGAACTTTCCGTAGCACGTTGGAATGGTCTTTTTCCATCGATTCGTTAATTTCACGCGAGTCCACTGGGATATTCCACGCGAGAGACACTTGCACCGGGGCTGGCTTATTCTCGAGGAGCGTTCCTCCCGGTAGCCTTGTGTATTTAAATGTTTCGTGCGTACACTTTTTTTCACATTATCGAGCGCCTAGCCCAAGGCAGGTGGTAAAACACGTGGCATGCGTAGAGAGAACATGCACCGGTCCCGTGTTTTTCTTTCCTTGTCTTTTTTCGTCTTTCGGTCACCGGCGTGTATACCATTCTCTGTTCAGCTTCCGCGCTTTCCTCTCGCTCGCGCATATGTTGTACCTTCTGTCTTCATATTACACGGGGCACAGGCAGAAAGAAAGCGCGTCGCGCCCGAGGTTCTCACCCTAGGACGAAGGATACGCCGGGAACGCAAAGAATAGACACACAGTCTTTCACGTGTTTCACCGCGTATCCTTTGCCGTGTATCCTTACAATTCCTGAATTAACTACACGCAACCCCCTTGCGCCGCGGAATTCCTGCCGGAGACATTCGTCGGGATTCCAGTGTACCGCTCGGTTGGAATATTATTGGAAAAGTAATTGGAAACACTAGGTAACCTTCCTTCTGAATTTACTTAACCGTTTGAGTGCCGAGGAGCGCTACAGTGCTCTTCTTGTTGACAATTATAATTTTCTTACTATGTTTTTCAAGAAATAAATCGAAGTAAATTTATTCGAATAAATGTTATTCTTTGATATTTCTTTGTAATAACACAGTATTTGTGATCTCATTAGTACTCTTATTAATTCTTTCGCATACACACCCATTCACTTCATTTTTGGTAAATATCCACATAAGTTGTTTAGCATCCAAACGATTAGCTATATAAATTAAGGGACAGAACTTCATTTCGATGTTTTATGTTGTCTCGAGTGCAAAGGGTTAACAGTCGATGTCACGTGACTAGATTCAAGACGAACAATTCGAGTGCGCGAGTAATCGGCACGATCGTCACGGACCTGCGGACGATTTTCGAGGTTAGCCGCTATCTGCGACGACGAAGTTTTTTGCATCGATATCATCTTTCTTATCCGCGGATCCGGTAACCCAGAAAGGTATAAGGTAACGCCCGGCGAACTCTCCACGAAGGGGTCAGCTTTCTCTTTCCGAAAGAAAATATTCGAGAGAAACAATCGGTGTTGCTGTGCCCATGCTGGCGCCACGCTCCCCGCAAGAAAACCGTAATAGAATACACGTTGTGCCATTACGTCTTAAGTGTACGAGAGTACGCAGCCATCATGTTTCCGGAAAACGTCTCCGGTATCTTACGTACTGTATATTTTCGAACGTACTGATCTCTTTTCCATGCTATATTAATCGATGGAAGTAATCGGTTGATTATATTTTGGAATTTACGATTGGTAACAATAATAATTAGCACTGCGATTACAGAAAGGTCAAAGTAACTGATTTTCAGTTATTACAATATGTATCCGCCATTTTGGCGCAGCAGTGATATAGTGTAGCTTATTATTACGATCAGTGATGACGATAATTAGCACTGCGATTACAGAGAGGTTAGAGTAACTGATTTTCAGTTATTGCAATATGTATCCGCCATTTTGGCGCAGCAGTGATACTAGTTTATCATTAAGTTCGAGGTGGCGACCGATTACTAATTACGAAAGATATTTTCTTTCTCTGTACACTGTAAATTACGAGATAAGGAAACACGGAGTGTGAATTCCTGTGGGATCGTTGAAGGTGACGTTTGCGCCGGGAGGAGGATAAATCATATCAGTAACTTAATGTTTAACAGACGTCGCGTATCTGGCCTGGAAAGGCATGATTAACTACAGCCGCGTTGTCGCAAACTGGATCCGCTCTTCCGACGTATCATCAGCGAGCGTAACATTTCCCTTCTATTTGCTCTGCGGTGGAAGCAAAGCAGCCCGGAACAGTCGTAAAACCTACCGATAAATTCTTTCCTTAACAAGTTGCTGCCAGATAGTCGGCCTCGGACGGAACCTCACCGTTTCCTCGAGTGTTCACTATTATTAACACTTTCGGTGGAAAGTTCTTCACTAGAAATCATCAACGCTTTCTGGCGTAGACGTAGACAACATTTCTGAAACCTACACTTATCTAAATCACGCATAAACCGAGGAACAAAGATATTTCATTTCAATATTTCGTATATCGATGCTTTTCGCAGAATTTAATGTTAAACATCGAACTTTACGATTTTACTGTATCAGATTAAACCTATGCAGGAAACGTCATCTCTCTAACCTTAGATTTCTATTTAAATTTTCATTAACTGAGATTTAGAATCTGTTCTTTTATTGCCATATGGGAACCTATGGGGCGACACTGTTTATGAAAAAAAAGCACCAGTGTTTACAATGGGCGAGCAGTTAATCAGAAATCGGAAAGCAGAGAACGGAATAATAGATTGACCTCTGTTCATTAACATTTTTTTCCCTTATTGTGGTCTAAACTCAACCCCTGATATTGAGAGACCAGATGGCACGAGCACCACCCCTGCTCCATTTCGAGTTTCCAAGCGTTCAAGAATCTACATGACCCTCGCCAATCCCCCCACCGCATCGAATATATCGGCCATATTGCGTTCCATTGACAACTCGCGCGGAGCACTCGGTGTACGCCTGCATGCCCTCTAAACGGAGAATCTAATTATTCTAATTCATCATTCGTCCCAGGGAAGCAGAAAAATCGTTCGATCGATGTCCCATGAAAATGTTTAACACTAGATTTACGGACGTTCATTCTACACTTTATTCCATCGTTCCTTGAAAGTTACGTGTTCGTTCATATAAATCGCGAAAGTTTAGCTTCGAAACCATAGTATTGCGTACTCGTATAATTGCACGAACCGAAATCGACTTGACTATTACTGAATAACGTTGACTTACTTACTTAACACTTTACCTGCCATGTCGCCCGAATTCGGGTGACAGCATTTTTCCGTCAACTTAAAAATCAATTTTCTTAGTAACGTATCGAACGAACTGAACTTTGTTAGATATATTAAATATATAAAGAACAGTAGCACAATCGTTATGAAGAATTTTGACCTAGTTTCTCTTTTATTATGAAAATTGTTTCGCGTGGGGGTTTGAGCGTTTACTTGGTCAACGTGTTAAACTTACTCAATAATGTCGACTTACCGAATTATTAATAATACCGTTACCGAATCGTTAATCATTCTCATTGAGCCCCAGTTATCTTACGAATTCTGATTGCTGCCAAGTAATTTGGAAGCTCCGGTGACCGGTGACCACCGCGTCGGCAGTGGACGTGTTAAGCCGACCGAGATAACCGGAATCCAGCGATGGCGGCTGTGCGATGCGCCAGACGCGCGGAACCGTCCGATTATTCGGCTCGTTCGCGGGCTCATCTCCGTTCATCCCGGCTTCCAGAGCGTGTCACGCTTCTACTTATCAATATTAACTCGCCTGTTGGCCAGATAGAGTGACGTCAACCTACGAACCCGGTGTCCCGCATGGCAACCGGCGACGCGCGTTGCGCCAGGACGCAAGGACACACAGAGACGCCGGGCATAGCGCACACGG